ATTGGTCATTGGAGAGTAAGCGATTTCATATAATCTAGTCCCAATTGTCAACCAAATTCTGTCGGTTGCTTTTCAAAGTGATCAACACGCCTAGAGATTGACCTTCGCGATGCACTTTGACTAATTTTAGTCGTTGAAAGCATCCGAGAGGAGCTCTTGACCTAGGTTTTGACGTTTGTTGGCACTCTTCAGCAAAGCGTATCTGCAACCTCATTAAGACTCATGTCTCCTGAAAGATACTGGAGCTGTGGCCCACTGGTTTAGGAGAATGATTACTAACCGTCGGGTCGGGAGCTCAAACCCCGCTCCACCTACCGAGGTATGGGCAGCCAGGTAGTATCACTAGCTCTCACACAGTAGGTGTAACTCACTGCTTACTCCATGGATGTGCACAAAATGGTTCGTGAGAGATTCAAACCTGTGTCACTCAGTGCTGCATTAAGAACCCTTACTGTTGAGCTATTCATGCTAATTAACAATTTGTTAGACCGAATTTTTTGACTTGATAGTTTCAGTAAAACCATTTAACCGACAAAGTTTATCTCTTTATTTTTTTACTTTCATTTCCCAGTAAATGTAAAACAAAATAAGTTTGTTTGATTTTGCTGTACTTTCATTCATTGGGAAATACAAATACCAAAATAATGAATATCATTTACCCAACACCCAGACTTTTTTAAACCATCAAATCCCAACTTGGTTTGGATATCTATAAAGTTAGTCTCTAATAAGTGCGTCTTATGCGTTTAGACACCACTGTAATTGTTGTCTTATTGGGAATATTACGTAAGGCTTCTTATGTCCCTTCTTAAGATGACAAAACTAAGGGGTTTTTAATTCCTTCCTTTCATGTTCTTATTGTCACTACTCTCGTGTCTGTAGTTGCGTAACTACTAATATTTCCCCTACTGCTCCTTATGCGCCTCTGGACAAACTCATGGGGATAGTAGTTGAGTAATAACGCCTTCATTTTTCATTCTCTGATAAAAGTTCCCTACTTGACTACTCAGTTTTCACGCCCTGTTACTTGAGCATTCGACTAAAACTGTCTTGATTGATGACCTGAAGTCTAAGTATCGATAAGAGTCCGAAGTCTTTTTGCGAACACTATTATGTGAATCTTCGTCTTGTCTTCGTTTGATTTTGCAATCCAACATACCTAGCTTTCCCTTACCATTTTTGTAGTTCATGTATGAATTTGATTGCGTCAACTAATAAGCGTATGCATAGGTAATGTATCGATATGTGATTTCAACAGTGATCCACATATCACCTACATACTTAGGGAGCAGGCTTAAATATCTCTAAACCAATGCATTCCTAACTTATCTATAAACATATCTGCTAAAACCTAGCATATCTGTAATCCCATGAATACTCCTGAAGTTTGTTTATATATTTTATCCTGGAACTTCAGGACAATTGAAGTCAGGCGTAATCGCATTCCCAAGATATTTGCTTTCACCGGCACCTTAGTTTCAGGTATGAGTTGTTGGTTAGTATTGAGTTCACTTCTGACTGCTTCAAGAGCCATTTTAATTGTCAGATTAGTGTAGATGACTACCGCATCTTCATACGGTTCTGTTTGGATGTGATCATTAATTCTTTCAATGTAATCGGATTTGTTTAGCATTACTGTCTATTTGTCTTTATTTGACTTAGCGATTACTATCTTTCTATCATTTCAAGGGCTATTTCAAGCTTCTTTTCATTGTTTTGTTAAATTTAAACATTTCTTCCGCTTTGTAAACAGGGAGTGACTTTTTTCACGCTTTGACAAATTAGGCTTTTGCTGTTTAGGCCCCATCAAAAGCTATTTAGTAAACTTTGACTTGAAGTAACCTAGTTAGTGTTTAAGATTTTATCATTTTTTGGAATTTTTAGGTTGCTGTTTGTAAATGTTTTGGAAAGGGTTGTGTTTCACCACATTGTAGTAAGTAAAGCCCTCTTGGTTTACGGAGTATTATTAGTTGGAGTACAGTTTTTCAACCATTTTTGTAAGAAACTCTTGTTATAAAGATTCCTGTCGTATGTGGATCTTTAGTTTTGTCTGCAGAGGTTAAACGTGGATACTAATTCCAGTTTGAACTTCTCATTGCCTTAAGAATGAAATGATATACATGTTTGTGCTCGAATTGACTGCTACTTTCTGACTAACGAAGGTATGCAGTGTGATGCATATGGATGTTGATTCCACCTTTTATGAACTTATCTTTCAATTTTAACGAACATTGTGGATTTCTGTGCAGGTAAATTAAGATTTGTTGATCATTAATGAGGCTTCCAGAGATATGTACATTTGGGCAGACTGATGTTATTGTTCCTAGGTGCTGATTGAAGATGAAATAAAAACCTTGATTGAACAGGATTCGAATCATCGGCTTCCAGGTTACCAGCGGAGCACTCTACTTATTCGACTAAGAGATCCAGCTACGTTTTACCAGGGCTTCTGAAGTTGTAAAGCTGGAAACTAAATAAGTCATAAGTTCACAGGAAGCATCTGACACTGTTTCGTTACCCAGATAACTGCAACCAAATTTCAGAATTCATCTTCAGCTAATATATGTAACTACTTTAATTTCCCCTTCTTTCTTTTGACTAATGGAAATATACACATTTGGTTGAGGTTTCAGATTGTGATTCCCAAAAATTGAAATACTTTGACAGAGTATTACTTTAGGCTTACATAATTTATGGCGTCAAGGAATACAGTGTACTCAGTTTTAGAATCCGAATAAACGGGAGTAAATCTGTCAAGAATTCACGAAAGACAAAAGCAAAGGTGATTCCTCGGTTACATTGCGCCGGCTTACAGTTTCCCATCGATCATATTCACCGTCATTTGAAAGCACGTACTATCAACCATGGAAAAGTTGGTGCGGTGTCATCAGACAGACGAAATCAACGAAGAACCTTGCAAACAAGTCCATCAGCTCCGTAAGGTTATCTCCCACATTCATAAGCCTCATTGGAAAGAAATTAACTCCATCTAAATTTCTTTCTATGTAACCATTTGTCGGAAATCTTTCTGAACATGTAAAGGTGGTTGCTGTTACTGAACCACGTGAGTAGTTAGAAAACAATCACTCTGATCTGTAAATTTTTTCAGACAAGAGGGATTCACGGTTCCGTGTGAGTGGTTTATTCCTTCTCATGTCGTTTAGCATCACATTTCATTAGTTTATGACACTTTGGTGTTAGAGGTCATACCTTGTGATCTTGGCTGGCGGGTGGTTTCCAACAGGAACCCTGTTGACACACAGTTGCAAAGCTACTCAGCAATCAGAAATAGCAGCGTAGACGGTGCAATTTATAACTCATACGCAAATTGATCATCCTATTTAAAGTTGGTTCAAGTATTACAATAGTTAAAGCCTTGACAAATCTGAGGTCACGTCACCAACGTATACTGTAAATAGCTTTAAGAAGCATCCAAACATTTATTTTATGGCCTGCCTCAGTAACGCGTTTTGCAGTTGAGCAGCTCAAACATTTGTTGTCAACACTGATGAGGTCAGGTGCTTCAATCTATTTCTCAACCACCTGTGGATGTATTCTGATGTTCTTATTTGAGAAGATATCTTAGCTCTCTCTTTGTATTTTTATGAATAAAGTAGGTTCTAACATCGTAATTTAGATGCTATAAAACCTTAAAGTGTCACTTCGACCCAGTATTTTCATTATCCTGGCATTAACTGCATACTGTATCTTTCTAAAAGCATCGGAGGTGCAGCTCATCTGTTTCGGGAGTTGACTTCCAACCAGCGGATCACATATTTAAACACCACTCCACTCCATCTACCGAGGTTCTGGCAGCCAGGTTGTATTATTAACCTTCACACAATAAGTTGAGACTCATTGCACAATCCACGAAGTAGCTGAGCGACCTTTGATTCTGATGGCATTAACAGTCGTTCCTATTTTGAATTTCGATGAGTTTTTCTTTGAAACACAGTGCACTGAAAGTTTACGTTCCCTAACATTTTTGAGCTAGTAGATAGGTAACAATTCACAGATAATTGTTTGTAATTATCGTTTTGGCCAGTAGTCTTATAGCTTCCCTCAAAGTGATGAAATATCGGAAAGAACATATAGACGGATAGAAAGATGCACTAAAAGGAAGCTTTGCTTCTGCTACAGTGATATCAATTAACAACACTACATGCTCACTTAGTCGATATAAAGTAAGTATGTATCCCTTCACATCAACTTCGGCTGTTTTTACAAATTTATTTGTACTTTTAGAGGCAAGTACATGAAAAGTACTAACAGGAGGAGATCTACCCAATTTCATAGGCACGTTCCAAGAAATTTTTTGTTTGGAGAGGAGCGAAGTCTTACAAGTACAATGGTCAGACACCTGTAGTAAACTGGACACCAAACTGATATGTCTGAATCCTACAGTATAATGAATAAACAAAAGTTTTCAGGCTTACTAAGCTTTTCTGAAGACCTTACAGTTGGGTATTTCTAACCTAAGCTTTGCTTATGAAAAGAGACTGCGAATAACCTTTCTTCGCCTTGGTGTAACTCTATGTAATTTCGGTTACATAGTGTCTTTCTTTCTATCAAAAGAGTTATAATCACATATGTTATAAATTTTTCTGATTCTCTGCGTGCTAACATAACTCTACAATCCTAAGGCGAACAACGACACAGTTTCATTAACCTTTGATAATTAGTTGGCATGAGTGGTGACTGCCAAGACAGATAATTGAAGCATGCACCATTCGTGAGTGCGCAACTTATGAATAGTGCGGATATGACTAATAAAATCGCAATAATAAAGACCCTCGTAATGTGACTTTGCAAAATCCAATAATATCGTAGGTTTATCCATCCGTCCTATTCAACATACGACCAGCCATTAGTACGCAACGATACTAGCACTGTAAAACCTTATCATTTAGAATCCATTGTTGATTTCCAGGAGGCTTATTTGAGTAGCTGTCGCCGCTAGGGAGCTAACCTACTTTTTTCTTAGTAATCAGCTGCATAACATGCACAGTGTAACAGCTAATAGTATATTTGGTTACTCTAATCGAAGTTGTTACATGGGTAAGTGAGCTAGTATAAGTTGGCTCACGTGATTGATTAACTACTCACCACTGGTAAATACCATTGCTCTAATACTCTCATGTGACTCCGACTTTCTACGTGACTCACCATCTGAATACCACTGTACTTGCGTACGCTTTCTCACACTTTTGTGTCACAACTAAACTGAACGCAAGACGTGATATTTATCAACCTGGTGCTTGTTGTCTCGCTTCACTTTCTCCGTACAAAAAAAAGACAAAGAATGGTTTCTCATTACGCTTGTTTCCATTCTCTTGTTCGGAATCGTCCACACATATCCGACTAAGTTACCAGTTCACAATGCGCCAAAATCCACCAAAATTGAAACCACTGATTTAATGCTCAGAAAACGGAATGGCGCACAGTAATTGCTTCCCTATAACAGTCAGTTATTTCAGAAACATAAACATTCGAAAAGTCATTCATAACTTGATTAATCAGCATCATCATCTTTCAACATAGGACCAGACATTAGTGCGTAACGATCCGAGTTGCTACAGCTCATTTCAGTACATCAAGTAAAAAGACAGTGAAGTGGAAGATGAAGATAAGAAAATTCAGTCAAAAGAAATATAAAGTACGAATAGGGAGAAAGGAAGAACGAGAAAATTGTGAGATTCGGTAAAGCGTTAAGATGAGGATAACGTGCGTATACATCTGCGCCACTGACTTCGGTTCCGAGCCATAATCCATTGCCTAGAATCTCAAACCACTGGCTCCTCTTGTCCCACGGACCCCAACCGGCTAGTCTGCATCGCCTTACATGGCTCAAACCAACAGTCAAAGACTTCATACATTGATGCCATGTTTTAGTCTGGCCGTCTCATACCTTTTCCCAGCCTGAACTAATTTCGGCTAACACTGTATCACGAGGCAATCGGCGACTAGGCGTACGTAACACGTCTCCCAACCATCTCAGTCGATGAAGGTTCACAACCTCGTCAACTGATTTATCTCTTCTCCTTAGAACTCTACACCTGACTTCTGCGTTGCTCACGTGGAGACACCATGGAATACGTCCTATACTACGAAGGCAACGGTGGTCAAACACCTGAAGCCTTCTCATATCTTCCATCTTCAATGGGCATGTTTCACAGCCAAAGAGTAGAAGAGAGCGGACTGCTGTGCAGTACACGCGACCCTTAATAGACAATCGAGTATCACGGCGGCGCCACAGGTGGCGTTAGGTGGCAAAAGCCAATCGAGCCTTTTGTATTCGTGTGGAAATTTCGTCAGCCACTGAGCCACTAGGACTGATCCTACCTCCCAGATAAGTGAAGCGGTCGACACACTCTATTGTTGGTCGAGGCACTGTTGAAGACCAATCCTGGAGCAACAATTTGCATTTGGGTGATGAGAAACGCATCCCAAACATTCTCAAATTGCCGTTCAAAGTGTTCAGAAGACTCTGCATCTTGTCAGCATCCTCACCTAACAGGAATATGTCATCTGCATATTTTGGGTCTAACGAAAATTCTCCCGCGACTAGGTCAACCTCTGTGTAGTCAGGTAACGAGAGGGAGACCTCTATAAGAATATCTATGATAAAACTGAATAAGAATGGAGACAGTGGACAGCCTCGATGAACACCACTCGACGAGTACAGCTACCCAGATATCTCACCACAGGCTCTAACACGCCCACAAGTCTTCGAGTAGAGAGCCTTCAATAAGGTGATTTACTTACTCGGCACGCCTTTCAGTGAGAGACATTGCCATAAGACTTCTCGATCAACGGAGTCGAATGCTGTCTTCAGGTCGAGAAATACAGCTATTGTTGGGCGTCGGTAAGCGTGCCTGTGTTCCAGAACCTGGCGCAGTGTGAATATTTGGTGGATACACTCATGGCCGGGTCTAAAGCCTGCCTGGTTTTCTCGGGCTTGTTGTTCCCGAGCTCCACTCAGGCGTCGAAAAATTATAGAACCTAGAATTTTAGATATTATGTTCGTCAGGCTGATTCCTCTGTGGTTATCACAGGAGGACTTCCCGCCTTTCTTGAAGACTGGAATAATCAGTGATTTAGACCAGTCGGAGGGGATCGTATTTGATTCTCATATACTGGTTAACACTTCCGTTAACCTGACTAAGAGCACTCCACGACCATCCTTGTATACCTCAGCAGTTAGTCCGTCTGACCCTGATCCCCTTTCCCGTTTCAAGTTACCTACAGCTTTCTCGACTTCTGCAAGTGTTGGGGGGCCTATCTCAATGTTCCATTCAGGATTCGACTGGATAGCGGGCAACGCAATAGTAGTGGCTGGAGGCCAGTTAAACTGTTCCTCGAAGTGTTCTGCCCATCGTTCCAGTCGTCTCTCCTGCGAGTGAATCGCAGACCACTCCTTCTCCGCTATGGTCTCACTAACCGTTGTTGACCTTTTCCCCCCAGTTTCCTTAATAAGTCTAAATAACTGCCTACTGTTACCAATCCCCGCTGCCTTTTCCATCTCTTTAGTCTTCACTGCCTACTACTGTTCGCGGTCGTTGAGTAGACTTTTTCTCAATCTACTTTTAAGTTGTGCTCACTCTTCATTGTACTCAGAGCCTTCAGGAGTGCGTTTACGCCCATCCATTAGTTCGGAAGAAGCTGCTGATATCCACTGACTCTTTTTAGCCACTCTTTCGGAGTCGGCTACGGTCTTCAGTGCTGCTTTCAGAGCAGACTGGAGATGGCACCAAACTTCTTCTGAGTGAGTGATAGTGTTCTGTTCCGATAACTGCCTAGCCAATTGTTCACTGAACACGGCTTTGGTGTTTTCCTTGTCGGACTACACTCGTAATCATTTTGTTGCCAAATTTTTCTCACGTCCATTGAGACGCAGGCATACACGCACTCGGACCGACGCGTGATCGCTATCTAAACACATACTCCAGAAGGAGCGGCAGTCTTCCATCGATCCTCTCCAACGATGACCGATAGCAATGTGGTCTATCTGTGTCTATCGCCGAGTTGAGCTTGATGGGCGCCACATCAGACAGTGTCTTTCTTTATGTCTGAAATTTGTGCTAGCTAAAAATAAGCGGTTATCTGAGCACATTTGTAGTAGGCGATCACCGTTATCTGTTCGTTCACCCGGGATTCCGAAAGTGCCACCTAAGTGCCTTTCTGCCTCACTCAGTCTACCCACCTATTCATTGAGATCACCTGCAACCACCACCACGTCTCAACGTTTGGCTTTCGAAAGGAAGCTAGACAGTTTTCGGTAGAACTCGTCCTTCACTGCAGTCAGTGGGTGCGTAAGCAGAGATTACAAAGAGACAGCGGAGATTTTCAGCATCAGCATGGCACTGCTGGTCATACAAGGGAAACACCTTACTGCTGTCACACCCCATCTAGTTAGCAGCAGTACGACTTCGCCCTCAGACCCGCATCATAGTGTAATAATTTACACCACAACGGTAACTGCTTTTCGTGTAACCACCATCCAACAGACCTTCCTGGTATGGTAGGACCTCGAGGGAACAAGTGTTCCACCAGAAGAATAGGTGGTTGGGTCATTGTGATGTGCAAGCCCAACCACCACGTCAAGGTCGGGAAGTTAATTAATACAAAGCTCTTGATCTGGGTTACAACGTAGCACTTGAGTAAAATGTCGATTGAAATGGAGGAGACGATACGACTGAGAATGCTTGTATGAGTTTGCTTTTTTCCTTTCTTTGATCCATTATATCAGTAGAGTGCTCCGAGGCATGAAATAGTACTATGATCGAGATACCAGTTTTATACATTGTCATGTAAATTCTGCAATTCTTTTTCATCAGGGTCATTGGACGGCAGCTGGGCATCAAAACCAACACTGGAGAGCCTGAACTGTTGCTGTTATGAATAAAACAGTCGCTCATGAGCTGACTGTCGAGGTTGTGGCCATGGGTTCATCGATTACACATCGTGTAGTGTCGCAATTCATGAGATGAGAATAGGAAACATCACTGCATTTAAGAGACATTTGTGTTCGACTAATTATTTCGTTGGAAGCGTTTTTGTTTTTTGTTTGGTTACAGTCAGCTGCGATAATTTGTTCGGCGATTTCGTTATCTACATTTTCCTAAAAGCCGATTCACACAAGCACAGTTCTGCTCCAAAACATATCTATGAATATTCGACAGTTGCCATCACAAACAGAATCAACATGGAACCTTGGACAGAAATGCCTTGGTTCTCACTGCCACACTTTTCAGTAGTGTATGGCTCGAATAAGAGTAGACAAAGAATGTTATCAGATCAGAAAAGAAAGAGTTCGTTGATCAAAATTATTTACAGTATTCAAGATCTGGAAGACGTCAAAGAGTCAATGTATCTGCGCTTTTGCGATCATTTTTCAAACATTTCACTAACGCTGTCCAGCAACTGATTGCTATGGTCTCAAGACTCCTAACCAGGCATTCAACACCTTACACTGCTTAGACCAACAGTTGCAGAGTTCATGGACTGGTGTCACGTCATGGTATGACCACCTTGGGCCTTCTTACAACCCAGTCCTACTCCGGCCAACACTGCACGTCTAGGTAGGTGTGGTGGCTAGGAATGCATAACACATATCGAAGTCACCAGAGTCATTGAAGGTTCTCATCCTCACCGACTGACTTGTCTACCTTGCCTGATACACTCCACCTAACCTTGACATTGCTGATACAGTGATTCCACGATAAGTGAGCAATGGTGCGAAAACAGTTCTGATCAAAACGTGTAGTCCCTGCCTATATTTCATTGTCAGCGGTCATTTCTCACAATTGTATGACAGGACAGAACGTACTTCAGCGCAGGTACTCGCCGTGCAATAGATAATCGGATATCTCTCCAGTCGGCACCAGAGTTGACGCAAGTTGGTAAGTGCGAAAATGGTTACATACCCTCCAGGGAGTAGACCTTTTATGTGAAGTTGCTTAATTAGTGTCATATACTTACTCTGTACCAACCTCACAGTCGTACATTACCTCAAAGCCTCTCGGTCAATAGAGTCGAATACTACCTTGAGGTCTAGA